AATAGAATTAATCAAGAGATATATAATATTAAACTGTATTTCTAAAGCCTAATTATAATAGTGCCTACAATAAATAGTATTGTAAATTATCTTAATATAATTTCTGATACAGGAAATAGGTTTGAAAGGTTAGTTCTTGAAATTTATTTATAGGCAAATACTTGTGCAATTCATGCAGAAAACTGAGTAGCAAATTTGCAAACCTAGCAAGCAAATTTGCAAATCTAGCTAACAAATTCACAAACTCAACTAGCTACATTTCAAAATAACTATAATCTTCTTTATCAGGCTTATGAGGCACACAAGACACAGTATATTATATTTAAATCTTGAGAACTTAATAGTCATATTACAATCTGTAAGCAAAAATAACAAATATCAGAGTTGCTAGCAAAGAAATTCATATCATATCTTTTAAATAGACTAATTCAAAAGCATTTACAAGAATGAAAAAGAAAGTGTAAAACATATAAAAATAATTTTTTTCTTGCTAACATCTAATTTGAAAATAAGTAGGTAAGTAAAAAAATCATGCTTGCAATTCTGAACAGTTAATTAATAATTTAAATCAACAAATTTTGGTACTACAGAATAACTCATCTATAAATAACAATAGAAGAGGTATAGCAGGATATGCACCTCTAACTTATTATAGATATTCTAATAAAGATCTAGAAAAGTTTATTAATTCTTTTTGTTCATATCTTGTAGCTACCAAAATCGATATAACTGGTAGACATGCCAATAGAGTTCATACATATAGACTCTTTAAAACATGTCTTAAAAGCAATACCAAAGATTAGTATGAAAAGTCTCTTTGAAGAAAGAATTGGGAACTGAGAAATTTACTAGATAATACTAAGCAAGATACTTTAGCTTTAGTTCAAGAATGAATAGTAGCCCAGTTATGTACACAGGCCTTAAATTATGCAAATATATAAGCTAGTAATATTATAATTCTAGCCTATATGATGTTTGAAGAAGATTGGTCTTATGCTGATAGAAGACTAACAGATCATTTACTCAATGCACCTAATACTAATACAGAAGCTACTGTAGTTGTAGTTAGAATTATGCTTAGCCAAGTATTATATTAGTTTAAACTAATTATCCTACAGTTACTGCAGAGAAACAGCAAGTATTTTTTGGTTTGACTATTCAAGGAAGTGACCCAGTTGGCTATTTCTATTCAAAATTGCATAGATTAGCCAGACTTGTTGATATTGATAAATGACAAATTCGATTACAATTTCTTCGTAAGCTTTTACTAGCCAATTAAATAGAAGTTTGATATATGAGAATCAAAAAACCTATAAATGAATTACTCTCAAAACTTGAAGAAATTAAAAGATTTATAGCAGAACAATTATCTGAAGCTTACCTGTATTCAAACTCAGATTCAATCTCTTCAAAAAAGCTTATAGAAAGGATAATACTTAAGAATATCTAAATTGAAGTTAGAATCTTAATAAAATCTATGATGACACCTGCACAAACTCAACTTATTTCTTTACTATCAGTTTCTTAGGAAATACAACTAACATAGTTATCTAAAGCTTATTATGGACTACAACTCTCAAGAACATGCTAGACTATACGAGATACAAATATTAGTAGATTTTTATAATAGATTACTGGAGAAGTTCTAGAATTTATTTCTATTCCAAAGCCTGATTTACCTCTAAAACCAGTAATAAAGAAAGTTGAAGTTAACTCTAATGAAAAACTGGCTAACCTCACACAAAAGCAATTAAAATTATATATAGATAGAGCTATTAAAAAAGCTACAAAGTCACAATATCATTGCTTAAACTATAATAGGACTAGATATAATTCTCGCAAGTATCTGAGAAATAAAAAGAAGAGTAGGTTCAAAAAGAAAGGTAATATTAATAAGGTTACTCTGGATTCAAGCTCAGATACTAACAATTTTTCTGATAGCAATTCTGAATCTGATTCCTCTGATAATGAATTTGAGTCTGAAGAGTCTTTATCTGAAGTTGAAAGTATGAATGTTAATATTAGCAAAATAAAAAAAAAGTAAAGAAATCTGATTTACAAAATAAGGATGCTTATATACTTAAATTATTCTCTAAGAAGAAATCTAGAAATTACGTACTTATGATCTTGAACTTATTGATAAAACTAGATGTTTACAAATTGAAAATACTAATAAAGACATTTTTCTTGTGAAGTCTAAAGCTGAAAATGATATAAAATCCAAGAAAATTAGATCGCTTGAATCTATGATTAAGATATTGAAAGGTAAGTTGTCTACAGTTTAGAAAGATATAATTTTAATTCAAAATGACTTATTGAATAAAGAATTCAAGATTTTATTTCTCAAATTTAAAATAGCTGAATTAAAAAATTTAAAAAACAAATTGGAAGAGACGAAGCCTTGAGACTATATCTCATCAAAGGTTAATAAACTTAAATATCTAAAATCAGAGGCTATATTGAAACCTATAATTAGTAGAAATATTAAAAAAAAAATATCGAATTCTAGTAATATTTCTGTAGTTAGTGAATCTATTAAATATCTTAGTCAATATTTTGAATGCAAAAAAAAATTAAATCAAGTTAGAAAAATCGATAATAAGATTACTGAACTATCAAAAGTTGGTGCTATGATTAGCTCTAAGATAAATGAAGAAAGTAATATTAACAAAATTAGTGAGGATATCATACCCCAATCTCAGATTTCAGTAGGAGGAATAAAAGTAATAAGACCTAGTCTCGAGGCTTTGCCTCTTCTTGCTGTAGCAAACACTTTAATATCACTGCTATTAGCATATATTTTTCTTGCTCTGTTAATTATTGCAGTTGTGTAGTTCATAGTATTGAGACGTGAATTGAGTATAAGTAAAAAAAATGATCGGTTACAGAATATATGGACTAGGTATTAGGAACTATCTATTTAAACTTGGGTATTATTTATGTACAAAAATATATACAATGGTAATATAAAGATATATTTATAGTAAGCTGACTGCCTTGTTTCATGTATTTAGAAAACTCTCAAGTGCTAGTTG